ATAACCACATGTCTTCCCACGAAGGAACTCCTTAAACCCCATCTCCTTAAAACCCTTAAAATTCCTTAAAGCCCCAGGCATCACAGAAGGAGGCTATCTTTGAAGGAACCCAAGGTCTGCCAGGTACTACCCACAGGAGTTGGGGGGTGGCTTACTGAACCTCTTCAGTCCCAGTACCCTCATCAAGAAGGATAGCCACCTCCACCTGCGGGACTATTTTGAGGAAGAATGTGGTAAACACCAGGCATATAATAATGGCTCAATTAGCAGCTAGACTTTGCAAATGAGCCTATCATTCTTGGTGGCTTCCCCTCCTCACCTCCCACTCACACCTCAATCCACAGCAACATGGCCTCCACCCGTGCAACTGTCCCTGCAAGGACACCAGGACCTGTGTGCCCCCGAGCCAACGGGCTCTCGAGCCTCAAGCTTCTCGCCCTCTGCAGCACTGATCCCTCTGCCCATCCCTTCCCAGGGTTTCGGCTGCATAAGTTTATACGCTTGACTTTCCCCCCTTGGCTGCAGACCCACACACACCCATGTGCCTCGGGACAGCTCCACCTGGGCATCTCGTGGGCACCTCCAGCTTTCCCCACCCCAGCCTGAACTCACCTTCTCCTCTGTCTAAGACTACCTCTCCCCACCACTTCACACACTTTAGCAGCCACCCCCTCCAAAACACATAAGTTCACTGGATTAGAGTCCCACTACTGCTATAACAAATGGCCACAAACACAATGGCTTAAAACAACACAAGTGTATTGTCTTGCTTTCCTGGAAGTAAGGAATCCTAAAATCAGGTGTTGGCAGGGCTGAGTGTTTTTCAAAAGGCATGAGGGAAGAGTCGTTTCCGAGCCTTTCCTAGTTTCTGGAGGTGCCTGCATGCCTTGGCTCCTGGCTCCTTCCCTATCTTCATGGCCAGCAGGACAGCATCTTCCAGTGTTTTCTTTCTGACTCTGCCTCTCCTGCCCTCCTCTTATAAAGATGCTTGTAACTGCACTGGTACCACCCATGTAACCCAAGATAATTTCTCCATCTCAAAATCCTTAACTTGATCACATGTTCAGTCCTTTTTACCATATAAGATAACACAATCACGGGTTCCAAGGGAGGGACCTGGCCATCTTTGGAGAATCATCATTTGATCAACTATAGTTAACTCCCTTCATCAGCTCCAAATCTCTAAGACAGTCCCCCAGGGACAGAAAAAAACATTGACCTACCTCTTTTCCACATCAAATGTCTCCATGTGAACCTTCTCAGGTAACATAAAAGCTTACCTATTACGCCTATCTCTACTTTATGTTCAGCAGGACTTCCTCCATTGGGTTTTTAAGGAAGTTAAAGTCTCATTAACAAGCTCCCTTAGGGACGTCCATGGTGATCCAATGGATAAGAATCCATCTACCAATGCCGGGAACACGGGTTCGATCCCTGGCCCAGGAAGATCCCACATGTCACTAGCAACTAAGCCCGTGTGCCACAGCTATTGAAGCCAATGCACCTAGAGCCTGTGTTCCACGAGTCAACCCCAAAGAGAAGCCTGCACATCACAACTAGAGACTAGCCCTCACTCGCCACAACTAGAGAAAGCCCACATGCACCAGTGAAGACCCAACACAGTCAAAAATAAATTAATTAATTTAAAATACAATCAAGGAAACCTAAGTAAAGTTAACCTGTGTCTGAGACTCAGAAGCCAACTCAGATGCATTTGTCTGAATAAAGGTCACCCCATTTTAAAAAATACAAAAACCTCCTTAACCCCAGTCTTCCACTGGGGGTCTCTTCTCCTCCACTTTTTACTTCTCATCAAACTTCTGAAAGGTGACTAAACCAGGCACCTCCACTCTAATGAGGTTGTTATTTCATTACTCTTCAGGATTTCCAACCCTGATCTATTGACAACTGAGGCCACACCATTCTTTGTTGTAGGAGGCTGCCCTGTGCATTATCAAAGGTTTAGCATCCCTGGCTTCCCCAGTAGCTTAGACAGTAAAGAATCTGCCTGCAATGCAGGAGACCCAGGTTAGATCCCTGAGTTGGGAAAATCCCTTGGAGAAGGAAATGGCAATCCACTCCAGTATTCTTGCCTGGAGAATCCCATGAACAGAGAAGCCCGGTGGACTACAGTCCATGGGGTTGCAGAGAGTCGGACACGACTGAGTGACTTTCACTTTCACTGGCCTCTTCCTTCTAGATCCCAAGTTGTGATGGCCAAAAAATGTCTCCAAACATTTCCAATTATCCCAGAAAGGGGGCAGTAGGTATAAATTGCCCCAGGTTGGCAGCCATGGTCTTATAGTATCAGCTCTTGCTAAAATCACCAGTGACTTCCCCAGCACTAAGTCCAGTGGGTACTTTTGAGCCCTCTTCTCACTTGGCTTCTCAGCCCAGGTGGACACTATTGGATATTCCAGCCATCCAACCTCTCAGGCGGCTCTTGCTGTGTCTCCCATGCAGGATCAAGCTCCCCTTCTGGACTGTTCACTGGTGAAGTTCCTCAAAGCTTAGTCCGTAGGCTTCTCCACCTCCCACTCAGCCCATTCTCCCTGGGCACTGCCCTCCAGCCCTCCGGCCCCACTGACCGCATAGGCACAGGTGACTCATGAAGTGACGCTTCCAGACCTCCTTTCCAAGATCCCAACCCATAATCTAACTTCCTAGTTGATATCACCAATATCACCACTTGGATATCTTGACATCACTCCAAGCTCAACAAGCCCCAAAACCAAAATCAGGATCTTCCCCTCAACCCAGTCTCCTTTTGGAGGTCCCCATTTCTCACAGAAAGACACCATTCCTGACCTGGAGGCAGAAGAACAGAAATCTCCCTTACCTTTGAAATAATCACACAGCAGTTCATCTGTCTCTATGTCACTGCCCCACCCAAGCCCAAGCCTCCACCATCGCCAACTTAGAGAATGACCACAGCCCTCTGACTGGGGTGCAGACGCTCATTCTTATATTTATTTATGTTTTGGCCACACTGCTCAATATGTGGGATCTTAATTCCCTGACCCAGGGATTGAACTCAGGCCCCCTGCATTGGAAGGCAGAATCTCAACCACTGGACCACCAGAGAAGCCCCCTGGATGTCCATTCTTGACCAGTGCCTCTACCCCGTCGGTTCTCCAGCCTGCAGTTGAACTCACCTTTTTAAAACAGAAATGAAAGTTCCTCACTGTTCTTAAAATAGAGAACAAAAGTCCCCATTTGGCCTGCTGGGATCTACGTGACCATGTCTGTCTCTTCCAGATCCCTGGGTTTCCTGCATTCCAAGCACAGTGACCTCCCAGGTGAGCAAACGTACCATGCTCTCTCCTGCCGCAGGACCCTTGCTCATGCTGCTCCCTCCATCCTGACAGTCCTCACAGTCATCACCTGGTGGGAATTCTCTTCCTTCAATCACAGATCAGCTATAAGGAAGCCTTTCCTGACTTCTGGCCACATCTAATCCCTTTGTTGACCACTTTTCTCCTAGCCTCCCCGTCTCTTCATTACCTTTCAGAGTCGTCATTTTACATTTACTTATCTTATTCTTTAATTCATCCCATCTTCCCACAGTAAACTCTATGAAGGCAGCACTGATGTCTGATCTGGTCCACCATTGTGTCCCCAGAGTCAGCCCAGTATTTGGAACAAAGGAGACTCTCATAAATGGTTAAGGAATGATTTTCCTACTTGTCCCATGTCCCCCCATCTCTGTCCAAGTTGGATGCCTGAAATTCACCTTTGATCAGCCTTCCTTTTCAAATCTGAAAGTCCCTCTTCTTCATCTTCACATCTTGTCCATCAACAAATCTTAGGAATTCTCCCCTTTAAATCTCTCTCAAACATCTCCACCTCTAGCACCTGAGTTTAAGCTGCTATCTTTCCTTATGTGAATCTCCACTCCAGCCTTTTACGCAGAATCCCACTTCTCCATTCTGCAACCTTCCAGGTCACACTTTGGTCTGAAATGTTCGGATGGCTCACCTGGCCCGCAGGATGAAGGATGCACTTTCATGGCCTATGAAACACAGCATATCTGGTCCCCATCTCCCTCCCCGGCCAATTCTCGCATCTCTGCCTCTCAGGCTCACTGCTGCTGTCCTACCAGACTTCTTGGGGTCCCTCTCTCTCAGCTTTTCTGTCTACAGGGAGCAATTTTTCATCCCCCCTTGACTAACTGCTACTCATTCTTTAAGTCTCAGACCAGAGGAAATCTTGCCCAAACCCCTCAAGTAGGCCAAGAACAATAACAGCAATAGCTGATATTCACTGCGTGCTTGCTAGGGGCGAGCACGATTCTAAGAACTTTGCAGCATCGACGCATTTCATCTTCACCATCAGCTATGATTATCCTGTCACAGAGAGGTTCAATGACTGGTCCAAGGTCACATTAGATAGTAACTAGCAAACCAGGCTAACATAATGAACTCGGGCTCCAGGCCCCAAATTCCAGAGCATTGTGAACGCTGCCATCTCCCTGTGTCCCCAGAGCATCTTGTATTCTCCCTTAAGCCACAACTGTCACATGTGAATGTATCTGTTCACTGCCTACCCTCCCCACCAGACGATCCACTCCCTGAGGGCAGGAACTGTGCCTGTCTTGTTGGAGGCTTTACCTCTAGCTCTGGACTTTACTGCTTTTTCAGCTGAATGTCATGCTCTGCATCCCCACAACCCCCAGCCCCAGGTCATCCACTCCAGAGGAGGGCTTGGGTAAAGCCTTTGTAAATGTCATAGAGTGGTTCTCCAGACACACACAGGAGGATTCAGGGAGAAATCACCCCACCACTGATTCTGCTGACTACTGACAGAGGTAGCTCCTCCGAATGGCCCTCAGACACCAAGGGTCAAAGGGGCAAAGGGCCAGCAAGATCCATCATCCACTTGCCCAGCAGTGATGGCAGAAAAGCTCTGGGGCCAGGCCGGGCCAGCATATGGCGCCCCCTGCTGGTTTCCGTTTGCGTTCCCGGCACCCTTTACCGAGGCACAGCCCAGGAGACACTCACCAGCCAGGAGAAGAAGCCAGCTGATTTGTCCTGGGTGGAGATCTGCCCCTCATAGGGGCCGAAGATGCGGCCCTTGGGGATGACCTCATTTATGCAACGCACGTCATTCTCCCCACTGGCTTCCTTGACCACCTCCAGGCCCTGGGGGATGGTGAGGGCGGCCCGGTCTGGGATGCCCACGGGCACCGGCGTGTCAGACACAAACACTGGGGGACCGTGGTTCGGGCACTCATCCACAAAGTACTCCTGGCAGGACTCACAGACTGGAGGGGCGGAAAGAGGAAAGAGAGCTTCAGTTGTTGCAGGGAGAGCCCCCCATGGAGGCTGAGGGGCCGACGAGAAACCCACCCCGAGGACAGTGTAGACCAGTGGAAAGCACACAGCACGAGGCTCATGAGTCCCAGCCCTGGCTCCACCCCAGCAGCCGCAGGCCCCTGAGTCTTCAGTAGCGATACCCCGCTCCCCTCCCTGGCGACCTAAGGGACACACCTGCCAATGCCAAGGAAGCCACTAGCCCCCTTTGCTTCAAATCTGAAAAAACGGAAGAAAGGTCATGACTGGAGTCAGATGGGTGTGCATCTGTGAGCCGGGGGAGCTGAGCCAGGAGGTCCTTAACCCTCACCAAACCTCAGGGTCCTCCCCTGGAGAATGCGACCAAATAATAGACACCTCAGCGGCTAAGGGTGAGGATGCACTGAGGCCTGGACCTGCGCTGCTGCACACAACAGGTGAGGGCCTCTCATCAGAGGTGCCTCTGCAAATGCCCTAAGCAGAGATGGGGTGGGGGGTGGGGGTGACGGTCGGTGTGGTCAGGAAGAGCCCCAAGCCCCACTTACACCAGAAGTCCACTTGCTGGAAGCTTTTGGGCACGATGAGGTCACGTTTTCCCTTCAGTTTCCTGGGCTCCACTTCCATGACTGAGGGGTCTGGTCTCCTAGAGCTGGCCAGGACAGGGACCAGTAGAGAAAGCACAAAGCCATCAGAGTCAGAGGCTGGTGGGCAGAGAAGCCGAGAACTTGGCCAGGAGGCCACGAGGATGGGGCAGGTAGAGGAACCCCAGCCAGCCTGCTTGTCTGATGCAGCAGACAGTAGAAAGACAGGGGTCCTGACACCTGGGTTCAGGCCTTCTTGGGTCACTGCTTGGGTTTTTCTAGAGCCCGTGCCCACCCCTGGTCCTGGGAGTTGCCCCGAGCAGGGCAAGAGTGAGCTCTCTTCCCAGGGTCTCCAATCAACCCAGCCGGGCGATGCCCCCCTTCTCCCTCGCCTGTCCCCACACTGGGGCCTCACCAGGGCTGGCCATACTCCTGGTCCCGGAGCGGGGAGCAGACCTCCGTCTTCACCACCGTCACCATCTCCCCCACCGCCGCCTTGGTCTGCGCCAAGCACTCCTTCATGTTCTCAGTCATTCTGTCCTGGGGGGCGAAGGCGGGACCGGCAGAGGAAGAGGATCAAAGAGACAGGGGAAGAGGGTGAGTGGCGAGAGGGCAAGCGGGGGTCCCGTGGAGTCTGGTTACCCTCCCTGCCATCCCTAGAGGAAGCGCTTAAGAACACAGACAACAAAAACAGCTGTAGCCGGGCCAAGAGGAAATGCCATTTCTACCCCGGGCTGGTCCTGGGGACGACTGGAGCCACCAGCCCCATGGGGTCAGGGGCCGGGAGGCGCTCAGGCCAGGAGGCAGGGCTGCGAAGCACAGCCTGGACCCCAAGCCCAGAGGCAAAGGGTATGAGGGACCCATAGGAGCCTCCGCACAAAACTTTGCAAGGGGGGGGGACAGGGGCGGGATCCGCTCAAGTCCAGCGGGGGCCAAAGCGGGGCAGGCGAGGAACGGGCCCTGAGCGCCTGACGGCAGAGCCCCTCACCCAGGGCTGCCAGGGAATGCAGCCGGGCTCGCTTTGCCAGCTCAGAGCAGGTACAGGCGGGGCCTGGTGGGGGGCGGGGGTCCCCGCGTGGGCGGCCCTGGCTCCAAGCCCCACCCAGCTCTCTCTAGGGCAGTCTCCCTAGCCCGCAGCTTACCGCCCTCCTCCACCACCGCGCTGGGCTTCAGCCCCTCCCTTGGCACCCCAGGGTCCTCATGCCAAGCCCGGGGACACTCTTCGGGTCAGGGCAGCGCTCAGCTCGGGCTGCGAGCGCGCTGGGCCCCGGGACTGGGCGAGCAGCGTGTGTGACTCACTACCCGGGGCCCCGCTGGCCACACCCCTGCTCCTCTGCTAATCAGCCCCCTGCTCCCCACCGGGGCCCCAAAGCCGCCGGCAGCGGGGAGGGGTGTGGGGAGACGTGCCGGCCTGCCCCCTTCTCCGAGCCGGCGGGGACGTGTTGTGGGGGGGAGGGCGCGGGCGGCCCGGGTCCGGCCGAACCGCCCCGCCCCAGCCTCCCCCCCACCNATTGTTCTTCTTTGGGACTGGAATGAAAAAAGACCTTTTTGAGTCCTGTGGTAACTGCTGAGTTTTCCAAATTTTCTGGCATATTGAGTGCTGCACTTTAACAGCATCATCTTTTAGGATTTGAAATAGATCAGCTGGAATTCCATCTCTTCCACTAGCTTTGTTTGTAGTGATGCTTCCTAAGGCCCACTTGACTTCGAATTGGAGGATGTCTGGCTCTAGATGAGTGTGATCACACCATTGTGGTCACCTGGGTCATAAAGATCTTTTTTGTATAATTCCCAATTTTATATATATATATAAATAAATAATTATAGAATTTTCACTTAAAGGGCTTTTTTTGGATGGGCATGGCAAGAGAGAGTGTTTTATTTCATTTTTTAATGTGGTAAAATACACATAAGAGAAAATTTATTTTCTTAACTGGTTTTAAGCATACAGCTTAGTGATATTAAGTATACTCACAATGCTATGCAAACATCACCAGCATCCACTTCTAGAAGCACCAGAAGGGTTTCATAATTTCCTACTACTATTTCTTGCTCACACTGCCAAAAACATGAAGTGACTTAGAAAGGCAGAAAACAAAGAGAAACTCAAGAGCCTCTTGAAAGTCAAAGAGGAGAGCGATAAAGCTGGCTTAAAACCCAAAATTAAAAAAAAAACTAAGATCATGGCATCCAGTACCATTATTTTATGGCAAATAGACAGGGGAAGAAATGGAAAAAGTGACAAGACTTGATTTTGGGGGGGCTCCAAAATTACTGCAGATGGTGACTGCAGTCATGAAATTAAAAGAGCTTCCTTCTTGGAAAAAAGCTGTGACAAACCTAGACAAAATATGAGAAAGCAGAGATCACGTTGCTGACAAAGGTTCGTATAGCCAAAGCTATGGTTTTTCCAGTAATAATGTATGGGTGTTAGAGCTGGTTCACAAAGAAGGCTGAGAGCTGAAGAACTGATGCTTTCGAATTGTGGTGCTGGAGAAGACTCTTGAGCATCCCCTGGACAGCAAGGAGATCAAATCGGTCAATACTAAAGGAAATAAGTCCTGAATATTCTTCGGAAGGACTGATGCTGCAGTTGAAACTCCATACTTTGGTCACCTGATGTGAAGAGTCAACTCACTGGAAAAGACCCTGATGCTGGGAAACATTGAGGGCAGGAGGAGAAGCAGGGGACAGAGGATGAAACAGCTGGATGGCATCACTGACTCAATGGATAGGAGTTTGAGTAAACTCTGGGAGTTGGTGATGGAGAGGGAGGCCTGGCATGCTGCGATTCATGGAGTTGCAAAGTCGGACACGACTAAGCGACTGAACTGAACTGAACATCCCTGCTGTGAGGCGCACTTCTCAACTGGATGGACAACATTCACACACAACACATTCTGAGCCAGTTAGGCTAGCGTTTAGGAGTCTGGGCCCCCAGCATCCACTGCCTGTGTTCAAACCTCTGTGACTGGCCCTGGGACCCTGGGCAGGTGTTAAGGACTCAATGTTCTTCATTGGGCCTGTATTTGGAGATAGGGCCTGTGAGGAGGTGATAAAGTTTAAATGTGATCATAATGATGGGGCCCCAATCTAATAGGGTTGGTGCCCTTTAAGAAGAGGAAGAGACACCAGAGCTCTTCCTCTGACTCCCTCCTGCTGTCTCTCTGCATCGGGTGAGGGCAGTGGGAAGGTAACTGTCTGCAAGCCAAGAAGAGAGCCTTCAACAGGAACCCAGTGAGCCAGCACCTAGATCTTAGACTTCCCAGCCTCCTGAACCGTGAGAAATAAACGTTTGCTGTTTAAGACACCCAGTTTATGACATTTTCTTATGACAGCCCGAGCTAAGACAGTGGGTTTTCTAACTTCTCTGTGCTCCCATTTCTTCATCGGGAAAATGTGGCAAGTATTAGGTTCTATCACAGACATCTCTGGGTTAAATGGATGGAGACGAAATTGGAGGGATCTGATCACCATCTCTGCACATCAACTGAAGAAAGCTCGTTGGGCAGGTGGGTATGAGTGATGTTATGAAGGAGTGGCTTTGAATTCTCTCCATTTGATTGGATTTAAGTCAGTCATTTGCAAACTCTAGCACTCTATTAGGAACTGACTGGTGGGGGGCCATTTTGCATCGAGCTTTCCTGTTCTAGCCCCTCTGCTACACCTGTATGCCATCCTCAACTTGTACACCATCCTCCACCTGTCCCCCATCCTCCACCTTGCCAGGGAGCCTGTGAACTGGCTTTGTATTCCATCTGCATTTCACCTGGAAAACTCCTACCATCCTTCAGCCCTCACTGCCACCCCCCATAATACCCTCTCTAGCCCTATGTCCCTTTCCTCATGGCCCTTGTCATCCTTAGAACAGTCTCTTTTTAACATGATTGTTTGATTAATATCTGTTTCCCATAATAGATTAGAAGCTCACCAAGGTAAGAGTGCAGGCCTTTTTGCTCACCACTTAATGGTCAGCACTTGTAACAGTGCCTGACATCTGGGCAGAAATAAGTGAAAGATAAGCAAGATACTAGGGCATAAATGTTATAAGGAAGCTCTCATTTTCAGGGTCATGCACTTGCAGGATTGGTACCTGAGAGTGAGTGCCTCCTTAAATTTTACACCAGCTTTCCTTACCTGGTCTCAGCCTTGCCTACCACGTAGTGCATTCTCAATAAATGTTTGTCAAGGGAATTGATGGACAAATGACCCATGTCTTAACTCACCCCACCTCCACTAGTATGTCCTTCTGTCCCCATTGAGAGTCTCAACCCTATAAGAGATCCCAAGGGGGTGACAGGGTGGGTGGGTTATTGTTTTGAACCCTCTTCTTGGGGCACTTTCTCATGACCTCTACTAGACAAGGTGGGCGAGGCTGGTATCTAGAGGCAGTGAGGGAAAGTGAGAGTGTGAGGGAATTAGATTCCTGAGGCCTAGAGCTTGGATTTGATAATAAGTGTAAAGCACAAGTTGTGCAACCACAGGCATGTGACTTCAATGCTGTAGGCCTTAGTGTCTTCCCTGGCAAAATGGAAATAATAAAAATTGCCCAGAGAAATCAATGAGACAAAGACAGGGTCAAGGTCCTGGAAAGAGCCAAGTGCTAAGGGTGTATAAGAGATGTTAACAGTAAACTGGCTGCCAGAGGCAAGGGAGTGAGCAGGAAGAGGAAGGAGAGAGGGGAGGGAGGTTATGGAGACAAAGGGGGAAAGGAGAGGAGGGAGAAGTAGGCAACAGTAAGAGGATGAACGCTGGAGGGGGAGAGGGAGAGGAGAGGAAATCAGAGAAAAAAGATGGAAAGAGAGAAAGAGAGACCAAGAGAGAGATGGAGGGAAGTGGCCCACAGACACTTCTACAAGTCTGAAATGGCCCCGGGGAGACCATCCTCTTATGAGAAAAGCATTCATTTGAATCTCAAAGTGAGATGTCTATGGACTATTTCCTTTCAGGTCTTATTTTTCATTTATATCCCACCTTCATCCCATTCTTTTCTTTTAAAAAATTATGATGATTTATAACATAAACCCATACTCAACAGAACAACTGAACAACCAGAGACCTCGTGGAGAAGGAGTGATGCTAGTTATACCCAGAATCTGTTGTAGGATGGTTGGTGATCTAGTTTTCCATTCAGTTCTGAGCCTCCTGGCAGCAAAGGCAAAAAGGGAAACACAATGGGTTACATAATACTCACTACTGATACCTATTTACTAACTACACAGTTAAGTTTTCCTCATTCTTGGAGGGGTCCAGCTACCTGGAGAATCAGAATCAAGCCTCACTTATGTGACTGACATGTATTACAGCCCTCTGTGTCTGTAACAAAGGCCATGGGGGCATGGAGGGAGAAGATGGGATATGACAGGACTGAATGGACTTCCAGTTGGGAAGGGAGGGAAAGCACAGGCTTATGTCCTTCACTGGGTCCATGTCAGCAGGCACTGTAAGGCCGGAGCCAGGTGAAGCTCCAGCAGCTGTTTCTGCAGATTGTCCTGGCTCTGCTTGCCTGGAGAGGGACCTGGGGGAGGGGTGGTCGGCAGGCCTCGTGGAGGACTCCCAAGCTGCTGGCAATGCTC